TGAAAGAAAATCTAAAATAAATCTAAAAAGAATCCTTGAGAAGTTTTAAAAAATATTAAAATAATCACAAATATATCTTAGATAAATCTCAACCAAGTTCTAATTTAATCTTATTTAAAATCCTAATGGATTTCAATCAAATCCTAGACAAATCCTAAATCCTAAACCAAATCCTAGATCAAACCTTAGATCCTAAATCAAATCCTAAATCAAATCCTAGAAAAGCCCTAAATCCTAAACCAAATCTTAGAACAAGTCCTAAATTGTATACCAAATTCTAAATCAATCTTTAGACTTTAAATCAAATCTTAAATCAAACCCTAGATCCTAAATCAAATCTTCAATGAAACCCTAAAAAAACCTTAAATCCTAAACTAAATCCTAAACTAAATCCTAAATCAAATCCTAAATAAATCTTTAATTTTAAATCAAACCCTAGATCAAATCCTAGATCCTAAACTAAATCCTAAATTAAATCCTAGATAATTTAGAACCTCAATATCTATCAATTGAATTATTAATCTTACTTAAAAATTTATACACTTTTTAACAAATAAATTGGATACAAGCATACAAAATTTGAAGATAATCGCACTTACCAAATGGAAGAAAAATCCTAAAATCTGCTTAGGTATTGGTTGGCCTCCTATTTCAATCTGAATGTTGTACCTCTAGTGCCAATATCTCCTAAAAAACTATTCAATTATTCCCAAATTTTACATGTGTATAGAAAATTAAGTCTATTACTTTCAAATACAAATTTTATCTCAATCCAATTTGTAGATTGCTAAAGATCTTAAAAATCCTAACTACCTTTCAAAGTCCAATTTTTGAGACCTCAACCTACTTGAAATTTGATAGCCTTTAGTTCAATCATTTAATCAAGCTCAATCTTATAGAAAATACTCCATAAAACTATTCTCATAAAATATAAAATTTTTAAAATATAGATCTAGTGCCAAAATCACAAAATTCTCCAAAATGCAATACCCTTTTTATTTCACAAATTTTACAGTTATCTAAAACAACTGTGACTTTGCAAAGTTCTTACAAAATAATTACACACTCAATTCCCTAAAAATAAATATTCAATGAAATCTTATTAATTCTACTCTCAAACCTTACTCTTTGATCTACCAAAAATCCTCCAAATTATTATAAAAGCTCTGCTTTGTACCTCAGGGTCTGATTTTGATCTAGGTTGATAATTGGTCCTCTTTGGATATCAAATTTTGTTCTTTTGAGTTAATTTTTATTCCAATAAAATTCTAACTTCTTTTTTCATATGATCATATTCTTTATTTTTCTAATCTACCTTGTTTTGCCTTATTTATGGCCTTACAAAGTAAGTAGAAGCCTACTTTGTAAAAAAGTAGCATTTAAACATTTAGTTCTACTTTCTTTTGGACTATTGTGTATTTTTTAAGATAATTTGCTACAATATTTGAAGTAAGATCTTCTATAATATAATAGATTCTTCACTCCTTTCACTTATTAGTCGTGTTACATGACGGCATTGATAAACAAGTTTGTCTAGTTTCAATAAGGACCATGCAGATAGAACCTTATATAACATCTATTTAAGGTACTATTTTTTTCTCATAAAAATTTTCTTGTTTTATAATAAATGTTATTTTAGGACCTAAATATCACAAAGCATCTACTTTGTTAAATTTGCCTTAATGCATTTCTTAGATGAAAAATTTGCTAAAAGACATAGTATTTCTTTAGTAAAGAAAACTAAACCTATTCATGTAGAAATCATAGATGGTCATCCATTTTCTTTAGAAGATTTTATTCATGAAATCCTTCCTATAGAAGTAACAACTAATGGTCATAGTAGCTTTGTAATATTTAGTATTATTAGATCTCTTTTTAATCTAGTCATTTTAAGTTTATCACGATTAAAATAATATAATCCTAAAATAGATTGAATTTCTTATAATCTTAATTTTTCTAAAAGTATAACTAAGAGTGTAGTTAATCTATATGTAATTTATAGATAATCTATTAGAGTTGTAAGGATCTTTTTGTTACAAGTTCTATTTTATCTTTCACAACCAAATAGCTTATGCATTCTCAAGTAAACTTCACAAATTATGACATTATCTTCTTTAGAAACTATGCTCTTCATTTTGTGATTATGTTGTTTTTTTGGAAAATATTGAGCAGTGTATTTAGGTTCTTTAAAATATAATCATAATCCTTGTTGACAATGTCAAGTCTTTTTTTTCTCAATAAGATGTTTGAAATGTGCCATGTCAATTTACATAGGTTCTGGCCTTGATAAATAACCTTTTGAAAACTTAGAAGTTGTGGCCATGATTTGAATTGTACTTCTCCAACCAAATCTTTGTTCTTGGCATTTTTCAAAGAGTCAATTATTGTATGCAATGGCTTAAGCAATTAATTGCTCCAATGAGTTTATTCTTCGCATTGTCAATAATAAATCTTTGACATTGTCTTTCAACCCATATCAAAATTGATTGTTAAAGGTTTTATTATTCCAATCTACATCGCTAGCAAGATTTTGGGATTCTGTAGCATATATAGTAGTTAAATATGATCTTTATTATAAAGATAGGAGTTTCATGTCTACTATCTTTTTTCAATAATTTTTTCTAAATATAGTTATAAATTCTATTAAGAATGAATTTAAAACATAAAAGAGTCATGAATCTTTTTCCATCAAAGGTATGAATCAAAAGACAATACTCTTGGATAGATATATATCTAAGAATTTACTTTGAGTAAATTTGTTAAGATATTGAGATGGATGCAACCTTAGAAAGAACTTTACTTATTGTAAAAATCTTCAAAATTTTAATCTTATTTTGTCAAATTTCTTTAATATACTTATTCTTGCCTCCTTCATATTTGTAAAAACAAGGCTTTTTGCATTCAAGTGTAAAATTGATCTACTTGCCTCTTTCAATTGCACAACTTCTTAGCATAGAGTTTGAATCTTATCATTGATTTCTTCCATATGTATAGAAATAATACCTCCATGGTTCAAATTTGAAATACATGAAATTTTGATTCCATAAATGTTAAAAAACTTGTGAAGATTTAGAATAGTTGCAAATTTATTCCCACTTCCACCATGAATAGCATCCATAATCTTTTCTTCCATAGACAACTTAAACAAACTTACAAGTTAAATTAGAAGAAGGTAATTTGCAACCTCTAATACCAATTGAAAATTTCTACAAAGAGGGGTAGTTTACTCTTTTTAAGATAAATAATCAATGTTTAAAAAATTAAAAGTTAGTTTAAAAGTGGATAGTCTATAACCTTCAAAATACAAGAATAGAAGTGGAATAATCCACTCACTTCTAATACAAAACAAAAATAATAAATTAGCACTCTTGTCAAACTATTAAGGACATGAGCTTCAAAAAACTAAAAGATCAACAAATTCTTGTGTCACTCAAATAGACTGATAATTCACTCAAAGATGGTATAAATTTAAACTAAAATGATTATTGCCAAAGAAAAGAAGACAAAAGTCTTAAAACAAGATTAAAAATTAAAAAGATATTAATTAGATTAAAGAAAGCTTCACTCTTGCTTCCATATATACTATCTAACTAGGGGCTATGTGGTGATGTACTATTTGATCTCTAATACGTGTCCAATTTGCAAGACATATGTCTTAACTTACAAAACAAGTTTTTTGTATGCATGCCACATTGTTAGCTTATATCATAAGCTACTTATACATGCGACATATGGCTAACTTGTTGGCCAAATTTTTAACCTATCAATTAACTATAAACATGTATAAACTTAAATATGTATCTATGAAGCTTCTAAGAAGCTTTATGACAAGATAATATCAAATCTATCTATATTTATTTTATATCTAGCACTTCTTATTTAGGTAAATATATATGTCCATGACAAAATTAGAGCTTTTTTTTTCATACAGTTTATGAAGAATTGCAAGAAAAGTTAGATATCTTGCTTGAAAATTAAAAAGTAGAAAAGGAATTAATAACAAATTAGTAGGAAGTAGAAGATGCAATAGAATTGCTTGTAAAAAGAGAAATGAAAAAAGACAAGGTAGATATTCAAAAACCATTGCAAGAATCTAAGATAAAAATGCCTACTATCCATCTTACATCTATGATTCAACCTTCAATTGTTATATCAAGGAAAGAAAAAAATATAATATGTGATATATATTGACAAATTTAAAGTTGTGTGATTTAGAAGAATTAATATGATTAAAACTAATAGTAACTTCATTATGGAATAAAAGAGTTTATTTCATGGGATTGATTGATACCGATTAGAAATCATAAAAAATAAAATTTCATAAAAAATTAAAAAATTATTGAAAATTAATTGAATCAAATTTTATCCATCTAAATGCTATTAGTTTGTAGAATGATTCACGTGTTGTTTGTTTGTTATTTATTCTTATCCTAATGTACATGTTTTTATCTTTGTTGCTTATATATTTACTTATAATGTATATGAATATTTTTAAAATATTATTGAACTTCAAGAGAAGATTAACATCTTTACTCTTTTGATTGACTAAAAAGAAAAGAAAAGAATTGTTGAAATTATTGAAATGGATGTAGTTATGTTTTTTAAATTGCATATATTTGAACAATATAAGTATAAGGTAATATTTTTTACACAAAAGAGTGTAAATAAATAACAACAAACCAAGGCACATAATTATCATATATTAAAAATGCCATTGTTTGTATCTATTTCCACTGGAATGATTCTAAGCTAAGCATGGCTTGTATCTTTTCTTTCCCCACTCCTAAGGGCAACAAATTTGAGTTTACAACCACACATGCTTTGAAAAGACCTAATTAACGAGCACCTTATGATCTTTGTTTTGTTTTTCCACGTCAAAAACTGTTAAAAATATTTTAGTGTGAATACATGTGCATGACAAAGGGGGGGACCAATCTATCAGCAAAGGGAGACGTAGGTGGCAAGTAAGACGAAGGGAAAGCATGAAAGGGGCAGAAGAGGAGGAGAAGGAGCAGCAGCAGCAGCAGGAAAAGAGAGAGTGGAGGTGTGTGACGTTGGAGCTCCAGCCCTAATCCTCGGTGTGGCTTCTGCTGCCTCTGCTGCTTCCATCTCCCATCCCCGACGTAAGGCGCTTGCCTGCCTCCGTTGATGCGTCTTCGTTGTCCTTTTGAATCGCTATCGCAATCGTAATCGCAATTACAGGCGGCCGGGAAGTGGAGAGGAAGAGGAAGAGGACCCGGACGTGTCTGCGCATAGGAACCCTCCCTCTATTGCCATGGCGGACCCCGAAGTGGTGCGCGCTGAGTATAGGCGCAAGCTTTTGCAGCACAAAGAGCTCGATGCAAGGCTGCGAAATTGTGAGCACTGTGCCTGGAGTTTGATCAATTGGACTGGGGAATGGGGACGTGTGTGCATGCGATTATGGTGATTGGGCTTGTGGTTGATTGATGTCGGTTAGGATGATCGGCGCTGATGCTGTTCGTGTGAGTGGGTATTAGTGCGTGAAAATGTGAAGGCTGCGAGGAAAGAGTTTGACAAGACAGAAGATGATTTGAAGGCGTTGCAGAGCGTGGGTCAAATCATCGGAGAAGTGTTGAGGCAGCTGGATTCTGAACGCTGTAAGTAATGGTGCGGAGCCTTTGAATTGGTTGAAGGAGTGGTAGAGGGAGTTTCTAGAGGTTTGCGTAAATGGAGAAGATGTTCTTTTGCAGATTCTTCGGAGCTTCTTTCTGTGGTCATAGGATGATTAGTACGATGAACCGAATGTGGTAGATTGAACGGTACAGGTGGTAGTGGCTATCTGTTTTGTTTTGCGATTCGTTCATATATTTATTTTTTTTCTCTGCCTGTATCTCATCATTTCATTGAGAGTTTGATTGTCTGAGCAGTAATTGTGAAGGCGAGCAGTGGCCCACGGTATGTGGTTGGATGCCGCAACAAGGTGGATAAAGAGAAGCTGGTGGCTGGTACTCGAGTTGCACTAGACATGACCACCCTCACAATCATGCGAGCGCTTCCTCGAGAGGTGAGTCTTGTCATGTGACCTTATGGATTGATCTGTGCAGCTGGAAACATCGTGACCAGTAGGCAGGTAAGCATAATGTAGTCTTGAAGTTCATGCATTACATGTTGGGGTCATTGTGATTTTTGATGTAGTTGTGTAATATGAATCCGTTGGAGAATCCGAACAATTGTTGGGACATTTGCGAATTTGTGATGTAGAAGACGCTTGTCATTGTTCCGCATCCGTTTTCTAAATTATAGATGTACCGACTTAACGCCTGTCACAATGTGTGCGATTAGGTTGACCCCGTAGTGTACAACATGCTTCATGAGGACCCCGGAAATATCAGCTATTCAGCTGTTGGAGGACTAAGTGACCAAATTCGAGAACTTCGTGAGTCGATTGAGTTGCCGTTAATGAATCCTGAACTCTTTCTGCGAGTTGGCATTAAACCTCCAAAGGTATTCACTGACACTTACTTTCGATCAGCTTCCTTGGCCTTGGTCTCCAGTTTACTGTTTATTATTCGACTCGAAGTTACCCTTCGTGATTATTTGAATAACTGAATGATGAAGATGTGTATTCGTAGCACCATGAAGGCTCTGTTGAGTCTGATAGTATTTACATTGATTGGTACAGACTAGGTCTTCATGTCCTTGCTATCTCTTTTAATAGGTCATAGTTTTGTCAATCAGGTTCATGTACTTGACGCGCATAAAGGTTTAATGACCAGATTTGAGGTGGTCGATGCGTAATGTTTTGATACTACCTGTTGCCATCCACAGGGTGTGTTGTTATATGGGCCTCCTGGGACTGGTAAAACTCTTTTAGCACGAGCAATTGCCAGCAACATTGATGCTAATTTTCTGAAGGTATTAGGGGTTTTGGATTTTTCTGTGCTGGCATAACCTATCTATTTTTTGGCTGACTTTTTGCTAATATATCTTAGCTGTGTGAGGTTAAGGCTGACACAACACATCCGAAGTGTTTGCTTTTGTGCTGCAATTTTATGGTTTTGTGCATTTTTTCAACAATTTAGGCGATGTTGCAACACAATTTTATCATCCTCTTCAGAATAGATTTCGTCTCCATTTTGTCGTATTCTTGTACGTCTGACATGCGGATGTATCTTTGTGCAGGTGGTGTCTAGTGCGATTGTGGATAAGTATATAGGAGAAAGTGCGAGACTCATTAGAGAGATGTTTAGTTATGCTCGCGACCATCAAGTAATTTTCTTCTGCATTCGTCTTAGATCTTTTCATTATTGAGTATTCCCGTCTTAACATTGATTACTCTTCAAAGGTGCATCCTGTTCTGAGTCTTGCTGATATGGCACTTGTCGTTTTTGCAGCCGTGCATAATATTTATGGATGAGATTGATGCAATTGGAGGACGTAGGTTTAGCGAAGGTACAAGTGCAGATCGAGAGATTCAACGCACACTCATGGAGTTATTGAATCAACTTGATGGTTTTGATCAGCTTGGAAAGGTACTCTTGACTCTTGAAACCATTCTGGTATTCATTGGCTTTGGCTTTTCTGCTGATCTGCAAGAAGTTGTATATATGAATCACGTGTGTGCTAGCCGATTCTTTATCTCCTTGTTTACATGGAATATGGATGCAGGTAAAGATGATAATGGCCACTAATCGGCCTGATGTTCTTGATCCTGCTTTGCTCCGGCCTGGCCGTTTGGATCGAAAAATTGAAATTCCACTGCCTAATGAGCAATCTCGCACAGAGATTTTGAAAATCCATGCATCTGGCATTACTAAGCATGGAGAGATTGATTATGAGGCTATTGTTAAACTTGCTGAGGTACAGTGTCCCTGTTCTTGTCCGCATCTCTTGGTTTGTGTACCGTTGTGAACGAATGGAATTGCTTATCTGGCAACGGGCCATACAATGTTTATTGCTTATTCCACACTGCTCGTGCGCCTGAGGCTCTCGGATTTTATTCTGAATGGGGAAATCGAGTGATATATGAACTGTTACACTTATATTGAATGTGCTTTCACTGCTTAAAGGTTTATTTGTCCGTGCATTTCACCTGAGCTCTATTGCCTTTTTTTTTTTTTTTTTTTTTTTTTTTTTGTTTGAAATCTGCAACTTTGTTTTGCATATTATAAACTGGTTAATTTTGGGAGGATGGTGTGCTCAGAGCTAACTATCGTTGTTCACAGGGCTTCAACGGAGCTGATCTTCGCAACGTGTGCACTGAAGCGGGCATGTTTGCTATCCGGGCTGATCGGGACTATGTTGTACAAGAAGACTTTATGAAGGTATTCTCTCAGTTGATTTGTTTAGGGGGTTGAAATAATTGTAATTTATTAGACAGATTTTAAGGTTGTTCAGTTGATCGCAAGTGGAATTTCATAGAGATGGAATGAAAATTGTCTTTTTAGTATGCCGACACTTGGAGTACTTGGGATGTTATTGAGGGTGAGGAATGCCAGGTTTATTTATCTGCCCCGTTTGACAGATTCTTGGACTTTGCTTATGACTGCTTCCAGTTGTAAGCTTCAGCGGCGTTGAGGTTCTGATGTTTAAAGGTTTCTAGCTACGATTATACTGTTCTTACTCAACTTGTGGTTTCTTTAGGCTGTTCGAAAGCTTACAGATGCAAAGAAGTTGGAATCAAGTGCTCATTATAGCACAGATTTTGGCAAGGAGTAGGATGTTCAAATCCTCTCGTCCCCATTTGCCTTCAGAGAAGGACAACATTTTTTTGAGCCCGAGTCTTCAAGAGAGCGTCTCAGGCATACTTTATGTTGAATTATGCTTTTCATGTTGTATTACTGGAAAATAAATCATCCTATGTATATACAAACGTTTGATTTTTTTCAACCCAGCGTATGATATGTGTTGCAATTGCCTTAGCTACCCATTCATCACCGACGTGTTGTCCTAACTATATTCTCTTCTTTTATAAGGATGGAATCCTGACCTCTTATTACAAGGTGTTCTAGTCAACTGGGTTGGTCCTTGACAGAGACATTTATCAACTCATTTCATCATTTGAAAAACTACGAACCTCATGTGAAAGGCTTTATGTCCACTCTGACAATTTCCTCACCTATCGTGTCGAAGAACATTTTTCCTGAAATGTGACATTTTTATCGTGCCAAGATTGAATAATTACGTGTTAATTCTCACAAGCTAAAACTGATCGGACATGAGTGATTCTTGTGCACCTCTCTAGCCGTGATTTTAAGCACATTCCCTGAATGCAGCAGGGATGAAAGTTATTCTTTTGCAGCGATCCGTGGGTTGACATATACCAATTATTATCCTCGGTGTAGGATTTCATTGACATTTTCTCAAAGATGATCCCAGAGACTTCACGTGTTCAAGCTGCCGTCGTGTTTGAAGAATGTCGGGGAGATCGTTGCGAGTTGGAAAGATAGGCAGATGTCAGTTAAAGAGTTAAGATGAACCTGTAGGTATGAGCATGCATGCACGAATTTATGGTAGAAACTGTAACCATTTCAGAACTTGAGTATTAGCGTGGTTGAGTTAAGAATCTGGAGATCCAGATGAACGACGCGCGCCTTGTCTGCACCATGGAGGGGAGGGATAGTGATTGGACTGAAAATCATCACTTTCCCGTGCATTCAGTTTAGCTTCACCATCAACTGACACCAATTTAATAATGTTTAAAAGCAGTGTCAGTCCAGCAAATTTGTGTTCTTGGATGCATTATCCAAATATCATTACCTTGGCACATGACAAGGAATGACTGGTACCCGTGGAACCGAACAAGAAACAATCTGAAGTTTCTTCGGGATTGAGCTGAATTGAGGAAGCCTCTATAATTGGTAACTCTTTCCAATGGCTCCTGACGCGATTGCAAACCCTCAGCGCGACTACGTGTTTGTGGTGAATCCCACTGGTAAGCACTCACCGTCGCCGACTGGGCTGCTTTCCGTTTTAGATAGTAGAAAGAAACAGTTGTTAAAGAGAGTTTGTGTTTCTGTGTGAATTTAGGTGCAAATGGGCGCACAGAGCAGCAATGGAAGAAAATGCTGCCAGAGCTGAAATTACGCCTTGGTAAAGACTGTAATGTGCGCACCACTGCATTTTATTCGACTTCTCTCACTTTATAATATTATTTCTACTGTAAAATTTGTTCGCTATGAGTTTAGCCTTGATTCTTGTGCACATGCTTCGAGGATATAACTTTGAGTTGGTTTACGTTTTTTGATGTGCAGATATTTTGATTGTTATTATTGTAAACTTTTGGTCCCTCTCAGCTGATTCATTGCCATTGTGACATTTTGATGTTCACGTCATACTTGTCCATTGTAATGACAGATTTGTGAGGCGCTCACGACTGGCCCTACACATGCAGTTGAAATTGCAAGGGAGGTGCACATTCTCTACATTCTTCACCAATTTTTTCTGAGATATCTGTTAGAGCCAATCATTGTGTTATCTTGCATTGGCAGTAGAGACGACTGCTTCTCATTGACATAGACGTAGACCATATTTCAGCATCATCGTATTGTCTCAAACAGGCGGTGCGGAATGGAGCTGCAGCTGTGGTTGCCGTGGGAGGGGACGGAACTTTGCACGAGGTCTTGCCGAATATGCCAACTTCTCTTGCGTCACAGCTGATCACTCTCGCATCGTTTTGCGACGCCGTTGTGTCAATATAGAGAGTGAGCTGTAGAACATATAAAAATGATGCAATCGTCTTCATGTGAGTAGCTCATCATGTACTATTATTGCGCAGGTGCTCAATGGTTTCTTTGAGGATGGAATGCCGGTGCAATCTCGTGAAGGTTATTCGGGGCCGCGGACGGCCCTCGGGGTACTGTAACTCGATTTTCATGCAGTCGGGTCACCGCTCACTTAGGTTTTCATGCACATAAGTTCGAACATTCCAGTGTCACTCTTCAACATTGATTTGGAGGTTTTTGGAATTATGTGAAGTTGTTTGAACTTTATTTTTGCAAAAGATTTCAATGCTGGTCGGTACTCTGTGGCAGCTCATTCCCATGGGTACGGGATCCGATCTTGCACGATGTTTCGGTTGGTGAGTGTCACAACTTATTAGAATCCTGGACTTGAAAATTCTGTAGTTTCGACTTGAATGGTCATCCATTGCTTTGCTGCATAATTTATGTAGCAGGTACCACTCTTTAGCATCATCAGATTCCGTGTTGTTCAAGTTGAGTAAAACTCAGATGACTCTAGTGTGTAATCCCCTTAACTTCAATCATAGAATTTTGTTTCCAATTGTTGAACTAATGTGGTTATCCCACGTGGCTGGTTTACCTGGTTAGGAAGTCAAATGACAAACTTGAAGCCATTCATCGCATTGTGAAAGGTTTGCTTCTCAACATCCTTGCCAATTTAGGACGAGTGAAGTTGGCACATATCCCCTGGTCACAGTTGATACAACACTAATAGTAGGGCATAATAATGTTGGTGCAGATCGCAGGCGGAGGATAGATGTAGGTCGAGTGCAATTACCTGACGACAAAGTTGATCGATACTTCCTCAATGTAGCCAGTCTTCACTTGTAAGTTAAACGTGACTGGATTTGCTGTTGCTTGAGTTGGTGCATATCAAGTAATATGCTACCGATGTATTGCTTTCCCCTGATTCTAAGATCCTTGATGACGTCGGTAATCTATGGTCTATCTTTTGATGCAGCTAATTGAATGACTGCCTAATTTATTAACATGGAGGGTAGAACATGAGATGTGTATTTTCTTTTAAATGGCTGCAGGAGTGCGAAGGCAGGTCACATTGCGTCTATGTACAAAAGATTCGGAAACCTTTGTTACGTCATTGGAGCACTTAAAGCCTTTCGGTCGCATGAGAATCGAGATTTAAGGACTAGGGTGAGGAAAACATTCCTACCGCATATCAAAATATGTTTGAATGCCGCCCTTCTCTGTTAACTGATTTGAGTATAAATTGGTCCTTTGGTGCTATGTATCCAACAATTGTCATGATTCGTCGGATCACTAATTTGGCTGAAGCATTTGTCATCTTGGAACTAGCGCCGGTCCAATTTTCTATATGATTTCATGATTTTCTAAAAACCTGCATTTATCGTCAGTTATTTCTTCATTCTATCGGGGGGGCTTCTGGTATGGTTATTATCAGATAGATGGGAGCCAGTGGACTGTGGTTCCAAAAGTCACAGCTACTTGTATCGGAAATGCCAAGTACTTCGGCGGAGGAATGAAGATTACACCAACTGCTGACCCCTTTAATGGTAGATTGGAGGTATTCCTTCAGAAGTTGAGGGTTTCAATTACTATGATTACACACTCGTGCACTGTACTCTTGTACAAGAGAATCATGAAACTGTTATTTCTCCTCAGTAAATGATGTGGAGTATACACAATCGAAGGCTCAACATCAATGCCTCTTCGCATTAAGTTACTGCTCATCAAATCAATTCATTCCTTTGGTTGTGGTTGTTGTAGGTGGTGTCACTTCATGGATTCAAGTGGTATGACTTTATCTTGAAGATGCACACTTTGTACCTAGGGACTCACGTGCATCTAGCCAAGGTCACGACAACTAGGTACTCGATTCGTAAGCTTTGACCAGCTCTAGATTACTCTTCCTGTCCCGGAGTTCCCGGTTAAAAGATTAGCTGTCCAGTTTTATGCTTCATTCAATTCTAACTCCATTTGGCAAGTGCACAAGAGTGAAGGCTGACAACTTACTGTAATTTCACGTAACTTGGCAGTGTTCGAATCTTGGAGGTAGAAGCTGCTGAAAACAAGTCAAAACAGAGAGAGGTCTATGTGCAAGCCGACGGTGAACACTTGGGTTTTCTTCCAGCAAAATTCTCAATCTTGCCTCAACAACTAGACTTCATCATGTAGAATTACTGACCTAGGCGTGCTTCTTTTGTCCTCATTCCCCTATTTTGCTTGCTTACATGCTCTGGTCGCAGAATAATTCAGTTTATACTGGATTCGGGTTTTGGAGTGCAGCACAACAATCGTGACCTGTTTCGCATGTTTTATGTTAATGTGCTGACCACTACGTCGTGATTCAATGAATAATTTTTTGACATTTGTTTCTACAATCCCCCTTTTCAATCTCCTAATTTTAAACACTGAAATAAGAGAATTTATACGTAATAGGTTTTTTTGCAAAAAAAATGGTAAGAATCAGATGAGATGATATGTGAAAATAGTAAACACATTCATCTGCTTTTGCCACGATCGAACGATCTGTGGGTAAGAACGACCTGAGACGAAAGAGCTCATTGAAGAGTAATAACTGGAAACCGAAAAAGGTTCAGAAATATACAAGTAAATCAGCTACGGTGAATAAATTAAATTTTCGGAACTAACAGGTGTTTCCTTCACCAATGAAAGAACTGGTGCGCAATTTTTCGATGACGCTGGAGAACATAGATTATGTTGTAAAGTTGACGCATACAAAGCTAAGTATAATGTAATCTACTGAACATGCACAGAAACAAAGCTTCATGACACAAAAAAGTGCAGAATTCGACTTTTCATTCCGCTGTGTTGTTTCACTTCATAATTCACGAAACAATGTCCATATATACATACGTATGTACATACAAGTATATGTGCACATAACCGAAGAGTGCGAAGAAGAGTGCCACTTCCACAGGATACCCAGGAAAAGCCGAACTATCTGCAGGAAACTCCATCAGTTATTTACAATTTGATGCTGGTCACCACAAAGATGCAAACAGTAGGAAAAACACTTGCGGTGACCAGATCCCTCACATGTATATGCTGGGCTGTTATTTCTGCACGCATTGCTCCGATGCACGTAGAACGTTCTTGCGCATGCTCAGCCCTTCGTGGTGGTGGACGTACACAATCTGGTTGTAGTGTTCATACTAATCACTACACACTGTCGGGTACAAAAACTGTAGATCCTGTTGTTTTACGCCCTTCAAGATCTTCATGCGCTTTGGCAGCTTGTGACAGGGGATAGATTGCGTGCACCCGGACTTTCAGTACTCCATTTGCAACATTTGCAAACAAATCACCTGCAATCTCCTCAAGTTCCTTTCGAGTCATGATGTAATGCATCAACGACGGCCTGCTGATAAACAGCGACTTTGACGCTATGGCAGTAACAGGGATAGGCTCTGGAGGGCCTGAGGCTTGCCCGTACAAAACAAGCATTCCTCGGTAAGCCAAGCATTCCAACGATGCCTGTACAAGTACAACAACAGACAACCCAGTTAGATGGGATAATATCATCCGATTCTCCACGTCTCTGTTGCAATATACGCAGACAAAGCGGACGCATGAATTCGAACGACTAGTTCAGGACACACTACCAACCACGCCAAATCACTAAGAATGTCCCATTTCCCAGTCCCCTGTGATGAAGCACTCAGATTCACGACTACGAACACGTTTTGTTACTCAAAACATCCCTCATTATCACAGCTTTACACCTCGCATTTCTGTGGCTTCATTTCATCTGACACCAACTCACGAACACGCTTGAACCTCCACATCTCCTTCATACATGTCGCGCACACGTTTCTTACACTCTGCATACGCCCAAAACCCTACATCCACACCACACTGGACCAGTCTCACAAGCGCGCGAGAAACCGAACTTCCAATTCAATGCTCCCGATGGTTTTCAGCGGGTGCTAAACCTGAAACGTATCCTTGCCGACCGAGTCGTATACAACGGGGACACCCACTCCTTTTGTAATTTCCTTCACTCTCTCCACAAGATTATTGTCGGAGTACACAATCACGTGCTGTGCGCCATCCGCCGTTGCTTGCTTTCCTTTCTCTTCATTGGACACGCATGCAATCACAGTTGCACCTATGCTGCTGGCCCACTGCACCATGAGTGATCCAACTCCACCAGCGGCTGCATGAACAACGATTGTGTGCCCGCTTTCAACCTGACCAATCAGTCCGCAAAATCCACCACGAGTCAATAGACAGACGATTTCAAACTTCACGAAACCCCGAAAACCATGCAGATCAACCACAGAAATACAAAACATTCACGAAACTGCATCCTCCTAACCAAGTGGACATCATTGTGAGTTGTCACAACCGCATCAGAAACTTAAGTTCATGTATTCTCCATTCAGCCCAAACACAGGACCTCGCCCATAGAAACTCCCCAAATATTGAGACCTTGAAAACTTTGCGGAGGAGAACTTGAGTTGTCATTCCTTTCAGGATAAGAGCAGCAGCAACGGTGAACTCAATTCCGTCAGGTATTTTCACCAGTTTCTCCGCATCGATCAACTTCTCTTCGACATACGACCCCATTACTCCTGTATGAATAGATATATCCACAAGTTCCAAACCCGCTAATCTTAAGTTGAGTGCACACAAACTCAATCAATCGTTACAACACAGCAATAGTGATTCACAACGGATTGATGCATCTGCTCGACAATGGTAAACAACTTCATGTGCAGCATGTTACGAGGCTGAACCCACTGCTGTACCTGCATAGCACACTCTGTCTCCGACTCCTACATCTGTGACCTCGGATCCAACTTCTTCCACCGTACCGGCACCCTCCATTCCTGGATGCGACAACCAACGGATCCGTTCAATCGTCGTCAATTTGTTGCACATTACGAAGAAGAGTAACAAGACGGGATATTTGATGGAACCACCAACAACAATGACCAAAGGTAACACTCAAGAGCAAAAATGATTCATACCTGGAACAAAGGGGAGATCCGCCTTGTACTGGCCTCTTCTAAAATACGTATCGATCATGTTCAAGCCTACTGCGGCATGCTTTACCCTTGCTTGTTTAGGGCCGGGTTTTCCAAGCTCCACATCCTCGAATTGGAGTTTCTGTTCACACACAGCCATGAAGGCCTTCAGAGAGAATGAACCTTGCATGCTACATAGCCCAATCGAGCTCTGCAAGAAACCCACGGCTACAATCTTCCATCGCTTCAAAGTGAAAAAGTTCAAGTAAAGTAGAACAAATGTGTACAGACGATTCAAGTTGCAACCAGGGGATGCAAACCTACCTCAGGTCCCCCAAATTCGTAAACCTTCACAACCTTCACCATGATTCCTCGGAGGCCAATCTCGTCGCCTGCTGCTCAAAGGCCAAGAACTGCGTGATTGAGCGCTCTCACGCCACAGTTCAATTTATGGACCCTAGCGAAGAGTTTCAGAAGCAGAAACGACGAGCTGCAGAGCAAAAGCCACAATCCTGAGTAATTACCGACTGATTACAGCATAGACCCCAGATACATGCGGCAACAGAGATGGGGATGGTTCTGGTAGCTGGTTCTGCATTGAATGGATGAGCTTCATTTATTATATATTGTTTTTTGAAGTATTATTGGGTTCTAGAAACTTGACCATCTGCAGCTTTGGGAATGGACCTCAAACCTATAGTGAAGCATTGATTGCGATGTCCTTTATATCTGCTTCGCGGCCTTCTTCGTCTTGTCGAAGCTTCGGAAGTAAACAAGGGCCTCATTAGGTTTCTGACGAATCTTCCACAGAAGCAAGCAGAGTTTTGTTTGTAATTTATTCAAGCTGGGTTTTGTTGGTTGAGACGAGTTTAGTCTTTTTACTTCAGGAGCTTTGGTATTAGTTGTTGGCAATCTGGTTCCAGTATAGCTTTCTTATGGATCATGATGTGCGTTTTTAATGAACCATTGCAAAATCTTGCTTTACGAGGTGTTGATCGTTGAAACATAGAATGAGTAATAAAACAAAAAAATTAAGGTAGTTTTGACATGCAAATGAATACATTCAGAATTAAATTACTTTAAAATAGCAAAATTTTATGCAAGAGATTAAGGTTCAAAAGTTAGTTCTGAATATCTCTATTGGTAAGAGCGGAGATTGTCTTACTCAAACTGTTGGAACAACTTAGTGGCCAAAGCCTTGTCTTCTCTAAAGCAAGGTACATTATCTACTGTTTTGGAATCAGGTGTAATAAGAAGATTGCATGCCATATAATTGTTTGTGGCAAAAAAACTATGCAATTGTTAGAGAATAGTTTAAAGGTGAAGAAGTACAAATTTCTATGTTGCAACTTCAATGAATTAGATTGCTTTGGTTTTGGAATCTAAGAGCATATTGATCTTGGTATCAAGTACAATCCTTCTATTAATATCTACAAAATAGACTTTTATATTGTTCTTGAGCACCCAAGTTATAAAGCCAAAAAAAAATATAAAGCTAAATCTTGCATTGGTATTCAATACCACATTATCAAGAAAGATATCATGACGTGGTTCTAGGTTAAATACAAGAGAGTGATTTTAAACAAGTCTCAAACTATAGCATAGAAGCCTACTTTAGATATATAAAAGAGGCAATTTTTTTGTCAGTATTTGGTTATCACTAGCTTTTAATCCAAATTTGTTAAGTCCAGAACTTTTCAACAAATCACCCACAAGTAAATACTTTGAAAAGGTGAGTTGATCCTTACATATAAATCATAGTCAATAGCAAAGACAATGGAAGAAGAAGCATTTATTTTGTGTTGGATCCAAGTTATGCAGAAAGGTGCCACTTTAGGCTCCAATTCAAACTAAAAAAATTGGGTTTAAATAAATTTTCATCTCAAAGGGCATATTTGCAAAAATCACAAAATATAGGGATAGATTTGCTATTATCAAGAATTGAGGGCTATATGTGATATTTTTTCTTTAAAATTATATATCTTAAGAAATCAACATAAATTGTATAAAATATATACTTCTCCATCTTGAGAGATAGTCTTGCATTTCTAAGTTTTTGTAATACATGATGAATAAAAAATTCATGTTCTTTAGTATTATTAGAGTACATTAAAATATTATTTATATAATAAATGACTAAATTATCTTTTAAAAAAATTAAAATATCATTCATATTGAAAAGTAGTTAGCACATTTGTGAGTCTAAAAGATAGAACATTGTATTCAAAAGATCCATATTTGATTCAAAATGCAAACTTCTATCCATTTCCTTTATTTATGCATACCAAATTTCAAATTGAACAAAAAAAGCTTCTTGTGGTAGTAAGTTGAATTAATGCATAACAAGCATTTACTTCTTTATTTGCTTTTGTATTTGTACTATTGAACTTTCCATTTTAAGAAGCTTTTTTATAATATCATAATAAAAAAAATTAAATATCATTGAAGACAAGTAGAAGAGATGATTTAAAGACACAAAAAAAAATTAAAAACAATATCACTTAAAAAGTGGATAATCTACAATTTTGAATATGTTTATGTCTTATTGAAAAACAGAAGTAATCTAATTTTAATCAAAAAAGATAAGGATTTAAAATACGATTTTAAATAAGTTACAGAAATGAAAAGATTTCAATGAATTACTTTTTCTTTTTCTTTTTCAAAATTATACTAGCTAAAAAACTCTTCATTGTCAGGAGGAATTTGACAAAAAAATCTACACTATGGCATTCAAAATTGAATTTGTTTACTGTTTGTGTGGAGTAATAATATCTCTTGTATTTATCAAAATAAGTATGTTAAGGTAGACATAGTCTAGTAAAACAATCACATATATAAAAATTAATTTGATAATAGAGTTGATTATTGTAATACATTAGTATATGAATAAAATTCTTAAAAATTACATATATATATATATATATATATATATTTCAAAAGTTTTATAATATTATAATTAATGTGCCAGATTGCATAAAATGTGTCTCTTTAAAAATATTTGAAAGTCTCAAAAATTTAACCCTAATTTTATTGCTTTTCCATGAAAATTATTTTATTTTGTGTCTTGAGTTTTGTACTTATTAGAAAAGTTTTTTATCTGCAATTTATTTTATTAATAATTTCTTATTTTTATTTATATATTTTCTTCCAAATTAAATATATTAAGTCGAGTCTGAAAAAACTTAGTCTTTTATACAACTTTATTATTTTGAAACCAATCAATTTTTTTATTTATTCTTAATTTTTTCTGGCATGTGTCATTTAATAACCTTGATAGATGGAAATTTTTGTAAGTTATGCAAGGAATATTAGTTTACAACTGATGAACAATTTCTGTTCCAGCATATATTACTGAGTATTATCCAGTAATTAACCAAGAAATATTAGTTAAGAGGTATCAAATAATTGGGATATATTTGTATATGTAATGGATTTTGAATTTAGAGATCCTAATTAGATGTAGATTTGCTTGCAATTTCAATAATTAAATCTATACTTATAACTTTCTTTGTTCATCTAGTGTTAATTTTTTTTATATCTTAAATTAAAGATTATTTTATTTTAATTATGTATTTTATCATACTGTATGTTGCAATTACTTGATGACAATACTAATAGTTTTTAATCTATCATACTTTAAAATTTTAGTATTTAGGATTTAATATGATATGTTCTATTATTTTTTAACTTTGATTTGTTGTCAACTTCTTTTTTCTTCTTTTTTCTTTTTTTTTTTCTTTCTTTACATTCTTTTTTTTACCTTTGTATGAAAATTAAATTCATTAGAATTATAGATATTCTAATATCAAGGATATGAGTCTAAACATAACCTTGAAATAATAATGTACTTATTTATATTTTTAAAAAATAAGAGATTCAACAAAGAAGAAATATATCAATAAGATAGAAAAGATTTAGTATGACTAATGCAAAATACAAAAAAAATATTGAACTAAGATTAGAATACTACAAAAGATGGCATTAATCTTACTTTTATGTATATTTGTTACCAAGAAAGCCATATAGAAGCTTTTTAAGTACCACAAGGCTTGTGGTTTAAGCATGTCAATTGAAAGTTACTTTTATGGTAATTTCTTAAAAGTAAAGAAATTATAGGAGAACTTTTGATTGTCTCATAATTAGAAGAATCTAAAGACCTAATTGGCATTTAAAAAGCATCTTTAATGTTTCTTGAGGAAGACATTGTCTACCTAACACATTCCTACCTACTTTTACTTTCTTCTATTTATTTAAATAATATTAGCATCTATAACATTTAATATATATTTTTTTCTTAGATAGTATATAGATGATGAGAATTTGATGATACATCAAAATTAATTTTATTATAGAAATAAAGTATTTTACTTCATTAAAAAAAATTATAATTCCATTCTTGTTTATATTTTTTATCACTGATATTTACAATACAGTAAATTATGAAAAATAAATAATTTGATTAAAATTTCATCTAGTTTTTACAAATAAAAAATTCAATTTTTATTAGATTTTAATATCTAATACAAAATTTATAATTTTCAACAGGTCACTTAAAAATCAATATATGACCAATTTAAGAAAAATATTTTTATTTTTTATTTCAAATTTTGTGAAGTTAAGGGATTATTTATTTACGTTTTCATGGCGCCAAATCTTCAAAGTAATTATTTTTTTAATTTTTATAAATTTTTTTGTTGTAATTTTTTTTTTTTTTTTTTTTGTGTGTAAAGAAATTAGGGCTTAGTAAAGATGACGTGCATGGACATTGTCGCTTGGAGGAAGATGGGCAAGCTCCGAAGCGACTCCCCGTAGACGGAATGGCACTCTCGTCTCGACGCAATTCTCACGCTCAACGAAGAAGCCACGGCGCCGATCACGGCATCTCTCTGCATGATGGCTCCCTCGTCCATGACACCAGCGTCGCATCCTATCTTGTCCTGGACATGGTGGTTTACTCACGTCGATCGTAGACACGACGGTGGACACACAAATCGTAGACAATTCAGGACCCCCCTGCACCGCATGGTCGAGGTTGCTGTTGGAGTTGCAGTTGGCGTGGTGGTGGTGGTGGTAGTGGCCATGGCTTCTACAGAGGAGAAGAAGGCGTTGCGTATGTATTCATATTTGATCGTGTGCATTTTGCTTTCAAGTGGCCAAATCTTCTTTAACAAGGTGAGTCCAGTTTGGGTAGTGTCTCATTTCCTTGTTTGGGATTATTGTTTGGTTTTTGACGTGCGGAGGAAGTGTGATGTCAGGTGTGCTACGCGCAGTTCGTCTTGTCTCCTATTTATTATTTATACGTCCTTGTTCTCACTGAAATTTTGTGGAATTTGCATTGGGTGCTGTTGGACAGTAAATCCAATCGTCCTTATCCAGTTGGACTGACGCTTCTGCACATGATCTTTTCAACGGTGCTCTGCTCTCTGGTGGACAGGGTGTTCGAGGTGTAGGCTTCTTCAATTTGACTTTTGTCATGAACTGAACATCCAAGGTCTCTTTCGTCATGTTGCAAGTAACTGTAGTTATTCTCAATGCATCAGATCGGCTGTTATCTTGGCACCGATTTATCTGGATTGCGTTGAGCAGTAATGGTGCTTACGAGCTAGCTAGAATGTGATTTACTAAAACTTGCAGTGAGTCTTTGGATGTGAGGAAGAGACAGGCTCAGTAGCTGACAGAGTTGGGTGGTGTGACATGGGACCAGTGGGTGAAGCCGAAGTAGAGCATGACCTATGACTTGTGAGCCTTACTTAACTTTCTGATCTTTACCTGTTTTGAAGGCAGCCTGCTTGCTATTCTTGTGGTCTATACCTTAACATCAGTCAATTACAAAGCATGGAAATATACGATATCAAGCTTTGGGACCTGGTAGTGACTACTCTCTCTCACTTAGTCAAATATCTGTTAATGTCATGACTGGGTCTTCCAATACCATCAGGTGAGTTACTATCTTGTAGAACTGTTCTTAAGTTTTTATATTTCAGGATGCTTTACTCTGGTGTACACACTTCAAGGAATATAAATTATAGAAGTAGTGAAACTATATCCACAGAATTTGCAGCGCATTTTTAATTTTAATTTTAATTGGACTTATCAAAGGTCAGTGGCATCCAGGGGCGGGCGGGGTTTGTTGGTTAGTGCGGCGCTGGATTTGCAGTTACATATCCTCTTTGATTCCGTTTGGGGCATCAATTTGCTCTGACGCTATGGCTTGGCAACACTTCCTACTTGCATATCTCTGTGTCGTTTGCTCAGATGCTGAAGGCCATTAGTAAGTCCATCTTTCATTAGGTTTATGCTGGCACAAAGCATTTCTTGCAGTATTTCTTGCTTGAGAGTTTGGTGTTCATTTACAACCGGGTTCTTTGCAGTGCCTGTTGCCGTTATTTTCCTTGGGGCATCATTCGGCTTGGAAGGGCTTAGTGTGAAAATGATGAGTACCATGTCGACAATAAGCGCTGGCGTACTGATCGCTTCGCATGGATAGGTTTATTTCAACTGGATTGGTGTTGTGTACATGAATTTTCTGGGGAAGCTTTTCGCTAGGTTTTATTTGAGCTATTTCTGAAGAGGAAAGGACTCAAGGTGGACCCCGTAACTATGATATATTATGTGAGCCCCAGCAGGTCGGTCATTTCTATGACTTGCTCATATCCTGGATTAAAAGAACAGAACGTTCTTCATGTATTCAATCCCTATTAAAATATGCTGCTTCATGTCATTCTTGACTGTTGTGACGCGGTTCTTTAACTTTTCTGTGTTTGTTCTACGTGTGGGTAACTTTTTTTGGTGTATATTTGTACAACTCAGAGAAGCTGAAAGAGGCTGCAGCAGCATCCGCCATTAAATCCGCACAAGAAAACCAGGCTCTTTTGAGTGTCGACTATACTACACAGTGCGAACACAAGGCAAGTGATATGCTATGTCCTGTCATGCGCTGGCCCAGGGTTGTATTGTTTCAGCCTTGGATCCTAAAAGCTTATGAATTGTCCATCTGTAACGTCCGTCACATAAACTTGCGTCACGGGAAGGTTCTATTGCAGCAGAGCACGTGGTAATTTTTGTAAGTCCTCTCATGATAAATTCTGTAAAACTTGAAATGACCCAACCAGATGTTAAATCTTTGCAGCAACGTATATTCGCAAAGTTGGAGCTAAAAACATCTATTGAAGATTCTAAGGAGTTCACTGTTAAACAATAGCTATCAGTGCTTTTGCACTATACAAGTGATTTGTCTCTTCTCGCAAGACAAAACAGTCATATGACTCAAGGTGCAAGGATCATACATGTAAATACTGTTCCAGGGACAAGATTCCAAACTGGCAACCATTCCAGATTTTCTGCATTTTGTGTGAAGTAGATCTAGGAATTGAAGAAGCAAATACTGTGTGAAACAAGATTGTCATGTCTTTTTTTTTCTTTTTCTTTTCCAGTCAATTATATTTGAAGTGAGCTCAAGATACTATTGCAAACCTCAGAACTAGTGAGCGGTTACTAATAGATGCGACCTTTAAGCGGCCATGTAATGGAACATGGGTTCGGACATGGCAAGGTAAGCATGCATGGAATACTTTTTTTTTTGCGATACTCCATTCTCTAATCTAGAAGCACTTCGAGTGATGTTCTAGATTGCTCATTCGTAGCTCATCCTTTGTTTGGTCAAGCTCTTCTGGTTTAGGTTTGATAAATGAGGACTATCTCGTCCCCGATGCGTCCGCGTGTGCACACTCTCCACACTTTCTCAGCCATTCGTTATCGTCGTCAATCTGTTCAGCTGGAGCCAAGTCTTCAAACGCTGATCGTCCCCAAGGAAGGGCGGGGGAGGCTACTCTCCACAACACCCACTGATGAGCGTCCCTCTCAAATTCCTTGGTTGACCATTTTCGCAACTGAGACACTTCCTAGCTATTCAGCACAAGTTTGCTGGCCAATAGAGTCGTACATTCTGATACCGCACATTCTCCTAGTTAACGTACCCAACGCGATTTAATTCCAAGAACCTCACAAATGTCTAAGTAATACTTCCACTTGATCTGAAGTTGGCTTGTATTGAAATAAACCCTCCATACATCTCAACTGTTTAATCTTCACACGAAACAAGCGTTCAGGTGTACCAGTTGATGCTGCTGCTTGATCACACCAAACTGGTCAAGGCACCAGTTGCCAACACTCAAGGCATGCATTAAACTGCCTTCAATTTGTGTGTGAGGGGGCATCTCCTCTTTGATCAACCCACATACATTTTCCGAAACCTGTTGTGCCTCATCCCCAATATTATGCTCAATCAGTTATTGTATTTTCATTGTTAAGAAACTTGAAACAGATAGTCAAATTCGTTTTCACTATATTTAAGTTGCCTATAGTTCAAAATCAACAGCTTATGCATCAACTTGATGCAACAACGAGTCCAAAATCCTTGAGATTTTTTATAAAAAATGTAGCTATTAAAGAATTGAAAATCTAAAGACCAACATAAGTTCTGGGCTGCAGGAGTCGCAATTAAAAGAAACCAAGAGGGCTGTCTAGTTGAAATGAATGGTTTTGGGTCTTGGGATGTGTGGGCTGTGAGAGCTGCAAGTACGGCTGCTGGTTTGATGCAAGAGATGGTTAGAGCCTACGAGCAAACGCTTGCGATGCCTAAGCATTTATATGCAACCACAACAACTCATACAATACCTGATATGAGGATAACAAACTTTAAAAAATCAGACGCAGAAATAAAATCACAGAATGTGCTCTCAATAAATTCCACACTTCTAAGACTCGACCCATACGTGTCGTTCATAAGTTCAGCGATAAATCCCAACAATTTACAAAGATTATGAAAAACATCCCCTCCGAAATTGAGTGATGTAACTGTCTTTTAAGAAATGTGCACTACGCGCCCACAAGTCTTGGAACACCTTTCTAATGACATACAACTGTACAGAAATCAGTACAACAATATAATCTCATGAATGGAATCCATGTGCATCGTACACTGTACAAGACCGATGCCACCTCGCTCCACAGTTAAGGAACAACAAAGATACCAATAAGCCTTTGGGTCCTGAATTGCATGATCCTAAAATTCCACCGAACCTGGAAACTTGGTGCGTTGGGTCCTTGAGCCATTAAATTCTAGCTTACAGCCTCAATATACACACAACTCCCCAAGAAATATTGTGCCGTGCGGTTTTGGCCAGAAGAGGACGAGTCATCACGAACCGCCAAACACGATCCTTAGGGTCATATACTTGAAACACTATCGATCCTCTTTTCTTCGGTGTCCGCTTAGCGTCGTTAAATTCCAGCACCGGGCCACCAGGGATCACATACAACTCTCCACCCAGAGGGACAAGCCGACACGATGCCTCTGCTAGAACTGTGCTTGGTAATTGTGCTTCGCGGATCCATCGATTCGCTGCAACATCGTACCTGAACAAAACAATGCCTTGAAATTAGTTATTAGAATTCAGTACGCTTATACCCTGTGTTAGGCACGAGCTCGGAAATCTATGTGTGCAACTCACATCTTGCATGTTGTGGCAGGATTCGAATTTCGTACAAATAGGTTGCAAAAGTAAAGAAAAGGATCAAATTGCAGAACCTGTAAATTGCAGAGCCATCCAACATGAACACATTGTCAGGCTCCCCCTTCGAACCACTCAGGACAGCCACCTTCCCCAACCTCCTCCTCTCTCCTTCCTCCCACATTGGCTTCAACACCCTCCACTCCCCGGTCTTCAAGTCCATAATCTCACCGTCGGAATAATACTCATCCACAGGCAATATACCAGCAATAGTCCGGGAGCCACCGTAACCTCCGATGACCCAAAATTCATCCGCCAATACAAACCCTACACACCCAGCTCGAATGTTTTGCAAGCTCTGCAATGGAGACCATCGATCGTGCAAAAGATCATATCTTTCCACGGAAGAGAGGCGACTCCCTCCTGCTGCAAATTGAGCGTGACGTGAACCACCTCCTGCCACAAACACGGCGTCTTCCCAGACTCCGCAGGCGAAGCTTCCCCTAGGAGTGCGCATACCTGTGAGACGATCCCACCTCGAAGTTATGGGGTCATACCGATATACGGCTGAAGATGGTAATGGTCGATCCATGGGGAAGCTTCGAGCATCATAGAGAGACCCTCCAATCACCAAGAGAGAATTTCCCAGCGAAACACACTCGAAATTGGTAAGCCCATAAGTGAAGGGTTCCGACGGCATTGGAGGCAGGAGGCTCCACAATTGCGACCGAGGATCGAACAATTCCCCTTGCGTGATGGAGGGGTCATCACGAAACAGACACATGATTTCTTCGCATTTATTCCACCGTTTTCTAATCTCGAACAAGGCTTTCCCTGAGAACACCCCATTCCATGCCTTACACACCGCTTTCAACGTACTATGCTGCCACAAGGGGAGGCATGCAAGACATAGGCAAGCCAGGTCGTTCGGCAGGCCAGGAATTATGCAAATTTCACCTTCTCCGATTCCATTTCCCATAGAGAAGTTTAACGGTAGCTCAGAACTTGAAGTCGACGGCCCTGCTCCTTCCCACTTGCTCCCTTCGCCGAAACCCGACATGACATCCCCTCGCCCTTCACCCAATCCCCCCCCCCCCCTAAACCCCTGTTACACACCACCACGAATTGCACCTAATTTGTACAAATCAGTTATCATAACCATCCCCCAATCTCCGTCCTCATCGCTTCCGCATAACCCCAGACACCTCAAAATACAATCCTCCCTCCCATTACCTTAATTCACCAACTCAGACCCAAAATATCCAATCACCACTAGCACCCGCCATCCCATTTCCACTTGTAGCGTCTCCAACACACAATCTCATATCGCACTCACAAAACGCCAAACATCCCACACTTCCATCAAATCACCTTCCAATCACCACTCGCATTCCACCCTCAATCCTCGACCAAAAGTCGCAAAATTCCACAATCACTCTCAATTGCATCTACAATTCCAAAATTGTACTTTCGCGCACAAGAGGGGATGCAGTAGGGGCCTGCCTGCGGTGAAGATTGAAACCCTAAGCAGGCAGGCAAGGCAGAGCAGCTGCACCCCTAGCGCCTTCCGTCTCCTGAGCCCTCCCTTCCTAAATGATCAATTTCCTAGGGTGCCTGAATCTGTTCCTTCCTCGGCTGTTTCCTGCACTGTTTTGATGCTGCCTGCTCAGGAATCGGCTGTGTCACTTCTCTGGATCGTTCAGGCGGCTTTTGGACGCTCGGGCTTAACTCTCCTCTTCCACCTGTTACTGCCTTGTTTGTGGGACCCAGCAGAATCTGTGCAGGATGATCGTGTCCCCATTTTATGATGCGTGACGTACGAATGCGGTTGAGACAAGACGATAGGGCGACGGATCTCATGGATGCACTACAGCTACTGATCGTTGCATTGAAGCTGCCTATGTTTATTGACACCTGAACATCCCACGAACTCATTCTAACCAACAGGTAAGAAAAGACTTTTGTAACAGAATGCGTTTCACTAAGTTTCCACATCTCTCCTCATGTCAGTGCTAAATTGCGCCACATTTGTGGTATGGCATGGCAGCTGCTCTTGCTAACCTGTTTCTATGACTCATGCATACAAACTGCTATTTGTGCCCAACGTTCATTACAAACTTCATTTTACAATGCGCATTTAGGAAGGTGCAAGATTTCTTATCACTACAACTGTTACACCATTCTGAACTATGCATGCCCAATAAATGTGTATTGCGCAATTCGACTTATCAGGGTTGCCAATTCTATTTGGGTGCACTCACCATATTCAGCAAGAATCTAACAGTCAGTCACAACAAAATAAACATGTTCACCATGGAACTTATCAAATCCCATTACAGAAATTTCAGTTCAAGTGTAATCAAGTGTGTATTCTGCATGCTCAGTACGAAAGAACCTCCAAACTGCTCGACAAACTCTGCTCGACAGAGTGAAATTGTGAACCTACGAGCTAGCACTTACATTAAATCATCCAAAGACCGCGATGAGCTGACAGTTGCAGAAGAATCTATTGTGCATGTAGTCACTCCGAACTCTTGAGCAAATTTCGAAGTGGACTTTCACGATATACAGTGACAGTCATAACTGAGTAAGAATTCAGTTTGGTCTAAGTGAAAAATGCATCTTCTAAAAATGACAGCATAAATTGGAAAATTATATTTGCACAATGAACGAAGTAAATTGTATTGAAAATGAACATGAATTTAGGTCTCAAAGTTCAGTTATCATCACTACAGTCTGCTATTAGTCCTAATTGCAATTCTTCCGTATAATCTATTGCATTCATGAGGAGTGATTGAAGCCTAACAATCTTCAATACAAGTCCGTAATTCTAGCATTCTTTTTAGGAGAAGTTATTTATTGGTTCAAACTACAATTAAGAATTGCCCACAAATGTTTGATCAGATTGAGGTCAAAAGATTGAGTTGGCCACTTGAGAAGAAAAAATCCTTAAGAATTCAACATAAATATGACTTTAATTTTATTAAATCCTACCACTACATGGAAATAATAAGTACATTATTTATCTTTTGAAGTTTACAACATTAATTATTTTTTTAATGATTAATCCCTAATTCAAAAAAATAACAATTTTTCAATTGCTCAAGACATTGTCTAAATTGATATTGCAAATGAATATTAAATCATGAGATATCATCAATGGCCACTACACAATCAAATCCACTACACAATCAAATCCACTACACAATTACTAGCTTAGGACAATAGAAAAGCAACATGCTACATAAAAACATTAACACACAAATTTGAATTTTAACAAGGACTAGCACCAATGGGAGAAATTGGTGCTTTTGGTCAATGAAGCTTGTTAGTATTACAAGTTTTTAGCCTCAAAAATAGGAGCAGTAACGAAAATAAATAAAAACCACAGAGCCCAACTAAAGAAGTTCAACATTAGCCCACTTAAATGGCTTACAGATCCTTTCAAATTTGGTAACAACGCACAAGGACATCCTTCTCAATGAGTCGCATGATACAAAGCAGATACTCCTGCTATGAATCATCATTTCTTCCTTGTTTAGTCGACCGTATTTACTTGATTCAACATACTTTACTGCCCGCATTATGTACCACTGCTCATGAAGTCCTTCCTCAGTAAAGCAGCTAAAGTCACTTACCAATTGCAACGCAACCCACACCACACCCTCCAAGGAAACAGAAAGGTCACGACGAACTTCTAGGGGAAATGACAATACCGACATGAGTGTTAAGACAACACCAATTTACTATACTCGCCATCAGTAGTTGGAACAGAACACGAGCCCTCCATCCTCCACGTCGCAAGTAGTATCCTTGCAGAAGTTGACAAGACTGAAGAGAAACAGTGCAACTATCTAAAAAACAACATTACAGTCATCCATAGTGCCCTTATAATCTGCTTCACCTTTAATCTGGACCAATTGACTTCCTCGGAACCCCATTACCTTAGAACCACCTGCATCAACAATCGTCATCACTGTCGTCACATGTATTCGGGATAAACGCCGAGAAAAGCTAATAATTACGCAGGAAAGTTGCTCATACTCTGCAGCTCGTACCTGCTGCGTAAGTAGCACATTCCCGAGGTGCATGAATTGAATAAACTGTGGCGTCAAAACGCTCAGAATCTAAACTTGCAAATCCATTCAATGCAGAACCAGCTACCAGAACCATCCCCATCTCTGTTGCCGCATGTATCTGGGGTCTATGCTGTAATCAGTCGGTAATTACTCAGGATTGTGGCTTTTGCTCTGCAGCTCGTCGTTTCTGCTTCTGAAACTCTTCGCTAGGGTCCATAAATTGAACTGTGGCGTGAGAGCGCTTAATCACGCAGTTCTTGGCCTTTGAGCAGCAGGCGACGAGATTGGCCTCCGAGGAATCATGGTGAAGGTTGTGAAGGTTTACGAATTTGGGGGACCTGAGGTAGGTTTGCATCCCCTGGTTGCAACTTGAATCGTCTGTACACATTTGTTCTACTTTACTTGAACTTTTTCACTTTGAAGCGATGGAAGATTGTAGCCGTGGGTTTCTTGCAGAGCTCGATTGGGCTATGTAGCATGCAAGGTTCATTCTCTCTGAAGGCCTTCATGGCTGTGTGTGAACAGAAACTCCAATTCGAGGATGTGGAGCTTGGAAAACCCGGCCCTAAACAAGCAAGGGTAAAGCATGCCGCAGTAGGCTTGAACATGATCGATACGTATTTTAGAAGAGGCCAGTACAAGGCGGATCTCCCCTTTGTTCCAGGTATGAATCATTTTTGCTCTTGAGTGTTACCTTTGGTCATTGTTGTTGGTGGTTCCATCAAATATCCCGTCTTGTTACTCTTCTTCGTAATGTGCAACAAATTGACGACGATTGAACGGATCCGTTGGTTGTCGCATCCAGGAATGGAGGGTGCCGGTACGGTGGAAGAAGTTGGATCCGAGGTCACAGATGTAGGAGTCGGAGACAGAGTGTGCTATGCAGGTACAGCAGTGGGTTCAGCCTCGTAACATGCTGCACATGAAGTTGTTTACCATTGTCGAGCAGATGCATCAATCCGTTGTGAATCACTATTGCTGTGTTGTAACGATTGATTGAGTTTGTGTGCACTCAACTTAAGATTAGCGGGTTTGGAACTTGTGGATATATCTATTCATACAGGAGTAATGGGGTCGTATGTCGAAGAGAAGTTGATCGATGCGGAGAAACTGGTGAAAATACCTGACGGAATTGAGTTCACCGTTGCTGCTGCTCTTATCCTGAAAGGAATGACAACTCAAGTTCTCCTCCGCAAAGTTTTCAAGGTCTCAATATTTGGGGAGTTTCTATGGGCGAGGTCCTGTGTTTGGGCTGAATGGAGAATACATGAACTTAAGTTTCTGATGCGGTTGTGACAACTCACAATGATGTCCACTTGGTTAGGAGGATGCAGTTTCGTGAATGTTTTGTATTTCTGTGGTTGATCTGCATGGTTTTCGGGGTTTCGTGAAGTTTGAAATCGTCTGTCTATTGACTCGTGGTGGATTTTGCGGACTGATTGGTCAGGTTGAAAGCGGGCACACAATCGTTGTTCATGCAGCCGCTGGTGGAGTTGGATCACTCATGGTGCAGTGGGCCAGCAGCATAGGTGCAACTGTGATTGCATGCGTGTCCAATGAAGAGAAAGGAAAGCAAGCAACGGCGGATGGCGCACAGCACGTGATTGTGTACTCCGACAATAATCTTGTGGAGAGAGTGAAGGAAATTACAAAAGGAGTGGGTGTCCCCGTTGTATACGACTCGGTCGGCAAGGATACGTTTCAGGTTTAGCACCCGCTGAAAACCATCGGGAGCATTGAATTGGAAGTTCGGTTTCTCGCGCGCTTGTGAGACTGGTCCAGTGTGGTGTGGATGTAGGGTTTTGGGCGTATGCAGAGTGTAAGAAACGTGTGCGCGACATGTATGAAGGAGATGTGGAGGTTCAAGCGTGTTCGTGAGTTGGTGTCAGATGAAATGAAGCCACAGAAATGCGAGGTGTAAAGCTGTGATAATGAGGGATGTTTTGAGTAACAAAACGTGTTCGTAGTCGTGAATCTGAGTGCTTCATCACAGGGGACTGGGAAATGGGACATTCTTAGTGATTTGGCGTGGTTGGTAGTGTGTCCTGAACTAGTCGTTCGAATTCATGCGTCCGCTTTGTCTGCGTATATTGCAACAGAGACGTGGAGAATCGGATGATATTATCCCATCTAACTGGGTTGTCTGTTGTTGTACTTGTACAGGCATCGTTGGAATGCTTGGCTTACCGAGGAATGCTTGTTTTGTACGGGCAAGCCTCAGGCCCTCCAGAGCCTATCCCTGTTACTGCCATAGCGTCAAAGTCGCTGTTTATCAGCAGGCCGTCGTTGATGCATTACATCATGACTCGAAAGGAACTTGAGGAGATTGCAGGTGATTTGTTTGCAAATGTTGCAAATGGAGTACTGAAAGTCCGGGTGCACGCAATCTATCCCCTGTCACAAGCTGCCAAAGCGCATGAAGATCTTGAAGGGCGTAAAACAACAGGATCTACAGTTTTTGTACCCGACAGTGTGTAGTGATTAGTATGAACACTACAACCAGATTGTGTACGTCCACCACCACGAAGGGCTGAGCATGCGCAAGAACGTTCTACGTGCATCGGAGCAATGCGTGCAGAAATAACATTACTGTAATCTCTACCGCT